GGAGAAAGAGAGACAGAGAGAAAGCTAAAAAGATAAAAAAAAAAAGATAAAAACAGAGAAAGAGAGAAAGAGAGAAAGAGAGAAAGAGAGAAAGAGAGAAAGAGAGAAAGAGAGAGAGATAGAGGGAGTTTTGCGTCTAGGATTTGTTGGCACAGGTTTGGGTTTTTGGGTCTAGCTCAAGGGTTTTTAGGGGTCCCAGTTTAGGTTGAGATTTTTAAGCTTCAGGTTCAGGATTTTGAGGGGTAGGGATTTGTTCGGAGATTTACTCTTAACGGAAAACGCAAGCAAGCTCCGCAGCACGGAAAGCGCTATGCTTTCTGCGGAGGGTTCACTTTCCACTGAGTTTGCAAGTTGAGGAACTGGGGCCTTGGTCTCTTGCTAGCCCCGAATCTCTGACTGCGTGCGCAGGGATTTGTGCTTTTCGCTAATCCTCAATGGGTGTATGGCCGTAGGTACAGCACCCTACAGGAACCTTGGTGCATGTTGGGTGCACCTGGGGCGTCCGGCTGCCCAGAAAACAAGACAGAGCCCACGAACCCGAATGCACATCACTTTGCGCAAACCCAAGAATATAATTAGAGAGAACATTTTGCGGTTTTCCCCACTGGGGCTCGCAATCAAGCCGACTGCGCAAACTATGTTTTTCAGCTTGTAAAACTGTACTTTGCGAGCTCCACTTGCTGCTACAAAGCTACGATTTTCAATCTGGAGATGGACACCTGCGCTTCGCGCGCTAGACTTGTACTACAAAATTGCGATTTTCCAGCCGGAGCTGGTACTTCGCGCACTAGACTTGCGCCACACAGCTGCGATTGTCCAGCTAGAGCTGAAAACCTGTACTTTGCGTACCAGACTTGCGCTACAAAGTTGCGATTTTCTGGCTGGATCTCAAAACCTGTACTTCGCGCACTATACTTGCACTTCAAAGTTGCGATCTTCCAGCCAGAGCTGGAAACTTGTACTTCACGTACTAGACTTGGACTACAAAACTTTGCAGCTAGTGCTGGAAACCTGCACACTTCGCGCACTAGACTTGCACTTCAAAGTTGCGATTCTCCAGCTAGAGCTGGTACTACAAAGTTGCGATTCTCCAGATAGAGCTGGAAACCTGTACTTTGCGTACTAGACTTGTACTGAGTCGCAATTTACAGCTGGAGCTGGAAACCTGTACTTCGCGTACTAGCCTTGCAGCCCAGCACAAACCCTAAACCCTAACCCGTAAACATAGCAAGCCCAACAAGCAGTCAAGCAACTCTGCCCAACAGCTCACCAGCCCAACCCAACAGCAACAGCTTCAAAACCCTGCCCAACAGCTCAACAGCCAGCCCAACAACAGTCCCAGCAAAAGCAAGAGGCCAACTCAACAGTACTACAAAGTCGCGATTTTCCAGCTAGAGCTAGAAACCTGTACTTCGCGTACTAGACTTGTCAAAGTTAAGATTTTCAAGCCAGAGCTGGAAACCTGTACTTCGTGCGCTAGTCTTGTACTACAAGGTTGTGATTTCCAGCTAGAGCTGGACTTCGCGCATCTGTGCTTCGCGTACTAGACTTGTACTACAAAGTCGCAATTTTCCAACTGAAACTAAAAGCCTGTACTTCGCACGTTAGACTGGTACTACGAAGTTGCGATTTTCGAGCTGGAGCTGGAAACCTGTACTTCGCGCACTAGACTTTCACTTCAAAGTTGTCATTTTCCAGAAACCTGTACTTCGCGCGCTACACTTGTGCCCCAAAGTTGCGATTTTTTCCAGCTAGACCTGGAAACCTGTACTTCGCGCACTAGACTTGCACTACAAAGTTGCGATTTTCCAGTACTTGACTTCTGAGCGACACGTCGGAGCACAACTTCTCATTGACACTTCTGAGCGAAACTTTTGAGCGACACCTGATCAATCACTCCTGAACCACACTTTTTCTGATCGACACTTCTGAGCAACACTTCTGAGCGACACTTTGTCTGGTCGACTTTTCTGAGCAACACTTCTGATCAACACTTCTGAGAACACATTTGACCCACACTTCTGCTTGACACTTCTGATCGACAGTTTGAGCAACACTGCTGAACCACACTTCTGATCTTATCCAAAGTTCTCAGCGACAGTTCTGAGCAACACTTCTGACCAACACTTCTGAGCCACACTGCTCATCGACACTTCTGAACGACACTTCTGAGCAAGACTGCTGAATTGAGACTTCTGAGCGACACTTCTGAGCAACACTTCTGATCGACACTTCTGACCGACACTTTTGAGGAACCCTTCTCATCAACACTTCTGAGCAACACTTCCGACCCACACTTCTCGTTGACACTTCTGAGCGACACCTTTGAGCGACACCTAATCAACACGTCTGAACCACACTTTTTCTGATCGACGCTTCTGAGCAACACTTCTGAACGACACCTTTTCTGCTCGGTTTTCTTGAGCAACACTTCTGATTGACACTTCTGAGCGACACTTTTGAGCGACACCTGACCAACACTTCTGAGCGACACTTTTTAAAACCGACTTTTCTGAGCAACACTTCTGCTTGACACTTCTGAGCGACACCTGATCAATCACTCCTGAACCACACTTTTTCTGATCGACACTTCTGAGCAACACTTCTGAGCGCCACTTTGTCTGATCGACTTTTCAGAGCAACACTTCTGATCGACACTTCTGAGCAACACTTTTACTCCGCACTTCTGATTGACACTTCTGATCGACAGTTTGCGCAACACTGCTGAACCACACTTCTGATTCACACTGATGAGCAACACTTCTGATCCAAATTTCTCAGCGACAGTTCTGAGCAACACTTCTGACCAACACTTCTGATCCACACTGCTCATCGACACTTCTGAACGACACTTCTGAGCAACACTGCTGAATTGACACTTCTGAGCAACACTTCTGAGCAACACTGCTGACTTGTCACTTTTGAGCGACACTTCTGAGCAACACTTCTGATCGACACTTCTGACCGACACTTTTGAGAAACCTTCTCATCAACACTTCTGAGCAACAATTGACGCTTCTGAGCGACACTTTTGAGCGACACCTGGCCAACGCTTCTGAAGCACACTTTTTCTGACCGACACTTCTGAGCAACACTTCTGAGCGACACTTTTCCTGATCGACTTTTCTGGGCAACACTTCTGAGACACTTCTGAGCGGAACTTTTGAGCGACACCTGATCAATCACTTCTGAACCACACTTTTTCTGATCGACACTTCTGAGCGACACTTTTTCTGATCGACTTTTCTGAGCAACACTCCTAATCGACACTTTTGAGCAACACTTTTGATTCGCACTTCTGCTTGACACTTCTGATCGACAGTTTGAGCAACACTGCTGAACACCACTTCTGATTGACACGATGAGCAATACTTCTGACCCACACTTCTCATCAACACTTCTGAGCAACACTTCTGACGAACACTTCTAATCCACTGCAAATCGACAATTCTGAACGACACTTCTGAGCAACACTGCTGAATTGACGCTTCTGAGCAACACTTCTCATCGACACTTCTGAGTGAGCAACACTTCTGACCCACACTTCTGATTGACACTTCTGAGCGACGACACCTGATCAACACTTCTGAACTACACTTTTTCTGATCAACACTTCTGAGCAACACTTCTGAGCGCCACTTTGTCTGATCGACTTTTCTGAGCAACACGTCTGAGCGACACTTCTGGTCGACACTTCTGAGCAACACCTTTGATCCGCACTTCTCATTGACACTTCTGATCGACAGTTTGAGCAACACTGCTGAACCACACTTCTGATTGACACTGATGAGCAACACTTCTGATCCACACTTCTCGTCGACAGTTCGGAGCAAAACTTCTGGGCAACACGTCTGATCCACACTTCTGATCTGATCAACAGTTCTAGATCTGAGCAACACTTCTGATCCACACTTCTGACAACATTTCTGAGGGACACGTCTGAGCAGCACTTCTCTTCGACACTTCTGAACGACACTTCTGAGCAACACTTCTGATCGACACTTCCGAGCAACACTTGTCTCGACACTTCCGATGAGCGACACTTTTGATCGACGCGTCTGAACGACACTTCTAATCGACACTTCTGAACGACACTTCTATTGGACACTTGTGGTCGGCACTTCTGAACGAAACTTCTGTCTCCAAATGCGCGCCGCGCCGCAGCGAGAGCGACACCCAAAGTGCGCAGGGAGTTCACTTTGTGCGCTCAAAATGTGCTGCGCCACACAGAGCGATTCGACCCACCCAATGTGCGCAGAGGGTTCACTTCGCATGCTCAAAACGCGCACCGCGTCACAGCGAGAGCGATTTGACCCTCCCAAGGTGCGCAGAGGGTTCGCTTCGCATGCTCAAAAATGCGCACCGCGCCACAGCGAGAGCGATTCGACCCACCCAAAGTGTTGGCCCTGTGCGCGAAGCGTAGCTTCTCAAGCTCGACGTGTGGTTTCGCTGCGCAGGCGCAGTGTTCTGGAAGGCTGCGTGTTCTCGTTGCCGTGTTAGTGGGATTTGCGATCCAGGGGTGGTCGCTTTTAGGTGTCCTGCTTGGCAGGCGCGTCATAGTGTTTGCCCCGGCGCCGTTTTCGTTGGCCCTGTCCTACAATCGGCTCGTTTTGGCGGGCCTGAAACGTGTCAAAATTGGTTGAAATCATTCTCGCGCCGCAGTCCCGTGCTAGTTTTGGATGCGTGTCGTAAACGTGTCAAAGTTGGATTTCGTGGCAGGCCCAACACTTTGGATCATTTTGATTTGGTGGCAAGCTTACTTTGCGTGACCGGCGCAGCAGTTTTGGTTTGAATTTCGTGGCACTTTGGAGCTTTTCGTGCAAATTTCGTGGCCCACTGGCACACGCTTATCGCCTCACCGCGAACGGTTGCGGACGGTTGCGGACAGTTGCGAACGGTTGCGAACTCTGGAGCAACTCCTCGCGAACACGGCCTCCACCCCCAGACCCCACTTATAAACGAGAACCTTCGCTACGCATTCGGGAAAATGGCCAAGACACTGGCGCCAGTCCACAAGCTCGTTGCCACGCAAGCGAGGGCGATAGCAGCTGCCAGGCAAACGGGCCAGAGAACCTTCCGGTTTGAGCAGTGCTCCAAAAAGACATCTTAGAAGGCTGGCTACCTGCCTCCATGCCTGCCTCTCTGTTTGTGGCTGAATTCCGGCTGGAAGCCCCGCCTTGATGGGTTGGACCGAGGCATCCAACAAGCTAAAGAGAGAAGATCCGCACATGCAAGCCATCCTCAGATCAGGCTCTACACTTGCACAGTCGCACATCAACTTTGCGGAGCTCATGCCTTGAGACAAACAAAGTGCAAGCGAACAGAGGCGTGCACGTCATGCGTTCCGAGGCGCATGAAGCCACTAAAGATCAGCCCATGTGGCGGAGCAATGGAAGCAGAATCCAGGGCCGGAGTCCAATTGAACACAAACACATACCTTGGCACGTGCCCAGTCCAATCTATCCCACTCGGCAGAAAGTCCAAGTTGGGGCACATGGAGCTTTCAAAGGCTGCCACGACCAGGCCAAGTAAAGGCACGCGCCAATCTGAGGAAAGCGATTGGCAGCCCGCCTTGCACAGCTACCGATCGCTGGACTATCAAGAAAGCATGACATCCTGCGATCCCTGGATGGAGGCATACAGGGGGTTGCATGCCTGCTTGAAGGCAACCCCAAGAAGACTGCAAAGCTCCAACGGATTTTGGTCGATTCCAAAATTAGAGACCAATGCAGCAAATTATTCACGACACTTGCAGTACTTGCAGTCTTCACGTGTCACGTACTTGCAGCGTTTGGTCTTGCCTTGAAGGACGAAGCGATTTGAACCACTCCGTCACCTTGGTCTCGTAAAGCAGCAGGGCTCCCTTAAGGTGGGGATCTGAAGCCCAGAATTTATCAACAAAGACAAAGTGTGTGCTTTTCAGACAGGCATCCGCCCTCACCTGGATCGCCATAGTTCTCCTGTCAAGCAGACTACATCTGAGCAACTTGCATTTTTCTCACACAAAATACTCAAAATCACAGAGGTTGCTGTCCACTGTAGACAGCCTAGTTTCTTTTTTTGATCGTATGACTCATGCAAACTCCCCGGGAGCGCCAAGCCTGCCACAGGAAGGATATGGTGGGAATGGCAATCAAAAGAAAGGCCAACGACACGTCGAAGGGCGTGGTAGGGCCCCCGTACCAAGTCGATGCACCCAAATGCGTCAAGGGCAAGGAGGATGCAGCAAACTGTGCCAAAAGGCCAGCACCAATGGCTGCCAAATACTGCACCTGCACTCGGGGTGGAAACAAGTCTTTCCGAACGAAACCGCCCCAAAAATGGCAACCGGGAGCCGCCAGGTATGGAAACAGCCAAACTAGAAGCAAGTGTCAGGCAGCAAATTGAAATCGGACGGAGTGGAAATAGAATGGTGCAAAACTATGCGGTCCAGGGTGCAAAGAACATGAGGCCAAACATGTACCGAAGCAACTCATCGGGGAAGCCGCAGCGCTTATGCTCCCCGACCATCCAGCATTCAAAGGTGCTGAATAAAAGGGATGTGGCTGCTCCGCCAAGCAAACGACCAAGCATCAGAATCCAATAGAGGTTGAAATGCTTTGTCACACATGCCAGCGCATACAGAATGCAGTACAGGATGGCACAAGATTTGCGACCCCATGCATCGGCCACAGATCCTATAAATGTGCCGGTGAGCATTGACGAACCAAAGCCTGCAACAAAAAGCTTCGCTATATCAACTTTGCTCCAGCCGTACGAGGCATAGAGCTCGTAGACATATGGGCCTTGCAGCCAGTCCGCAGTGATCGCCAGGCACCAAACAATGAGGTACCGGAATTGGAACTCGTGGAAGCCTCTGGGCACTTTGGCATTAGACATAGGCCGGGTAAGCCATCCCAGCGCGCAGGTCCCCAGCAAAAGCGGCCAGGACACCGCCGTGTAGATGTCCCCGAACCTGACGCACGCACAGATTCGCCCAACGGGACGGAAGCCCCGCCAAGAGGGGCAGGGTAGGCTGGTCCAACGGAGGCTGAGGCCCTTGCAGGGCACCAGTTGCGTCGGACGGAAGGCTTCCCGGGTCCACGGCCACATGGAGCAAAGGTCTAGCTGCGCTTCTGCCTGGACGTGTAGCACATGAAATCCAAGCAAGTCGACAAGTTTGCCTCGCATGAAACAAGGCTGACGAAAAGCATTGGTCGCTCCACGGGTGCTCTGCGAAACATGGTTCCGCTGAATTCCGTGTGGCATTTGCAGGGCTGATGGAGCAAGATGAGTGTGGCGAAATGCAAGATGCACAAACGCGGGACACCTGAGTCTGAGCTGCGCGTGCTTGCCCACGCAGAGACAGCAGCAACACAAGCTGCTTTTGCCTGCATTGCACGTCATCACCCCTGATTTACAGAAGGGGAGGCTCATCCCATGTATATCTGGATTCCAAGTATGTTATGCAAAAAGGCACTACAGGATGCAGCCCCACAAAAATGGAACAATTGAAAAAACACAATGAGCTACAAACAAACGAAAAAACTAAACTGAACTGGCAAAGGCGCATGTCCCAACGTTGCAAAAACACGTGATTTGCAAAATGCATCAGCGGCGCCAAAGGGTTCCGCGCGCGAAGCAAAGGCGCGTTCCGCAGAGGCATCTCAATGTTTTCCACTCAAGTCACCACAGCAGGCCAAGCACAAGCTTGAGCACAAACGCGGCAAAGAATCATAGGCCTTCCTTCGCTTCATCCCTCTAGTGCTGGTGACAGAAGACTCGTCAAAACTCTGAAGTTCACATGCTGAGAAGGCATCCTCAAGCTTAGGCCGCGGGCCACTGCATCGTGTAGACGACTTTCGATGGCCGCCTGGCAGCTGGGCAGATGAAAGAAGTGGCGTGACATCGGATGTCTCCCTGCACCTGCACCTGCTGGCGAAAGTAGGCGATGCCCCGTTGGACCTATGCGGTCAGGTTGCCTGAACTCAACGGACGAAGGGGTGCGCCCCTTCAAATGGAGCAAACTGCAACAGAACAAAATGAGCAAAGGCTTGGTCCCTCGAACCAGGCACTTGCAGCCGCCACAAATTTAGGTACAAACATGTTTAAGTGCGCAAAACCATGCAAGTTGTATGGATCTTGTGTGCGCATGTTGCACGTATAAACATGAAATTATGTTCTTGACATGTATTGATGTGCGTATTCTGCCAATGGAGATGCGCACTCTGTGTATAGACAATATTTGCAGTGCGCAGGGCTGTGTGAATGAAAATGTGTGCCTGTTTTCGTGGCTACTGACAAAACCAAACTACAAATAAAACAGGGCGTTCACGTTGCACATGAGTGTGTAGATACAACAAATCTATCTTAGACCAAACTGGCAGCCCCGAGCTTTTAAAGCACGTAAGAACCCACGTAGCAACCTGCATCGCAACTCACGTTGTAAGTTAGCCCTGTCTCTGCGGAAAGCAAACAGCCTCAATACAAATCAAACCTACATGATTTGCTCACAACATGGCATGGTCTGCGCAGCAGTGGCTACCTTGGTTTGGCATTACATTCCTTCCTAATAATCGATTGCTCACGGAAAGGAGAGAAGAAAACAAGCGTCTACGTCCAATCGAATATCCTTTCTAAACACGCAAGCTTTCTGTGCCACGGATGTTGCATAAAATGACCGGCGGAGACAACTGATTGCAACCACAAAAGTGCCGAAATATTCAAACGGCTGAGAACCGTTCCTGGAAAGCCCACACACTGGAACCTGAACCGTTCTGAACCGTGGCAAGTCGCGGGTGTGCAAAACGCATCTTGGTTCAGAACCGTTCGGAACCGTTCTGAACCGTTCCTAACCTTTCCTAGCCACGGAACCGTTCTGAACCGTTCCCACGGCTAGCGCTCGGAACTGCGCGTGTGACTCGGATTGCCCGAAGATAACCCACGAGGACAAACAGTACTGCAAGGTTTCTGGCATGTCATGTTTCATAGAATGGAAACATGTTGCATATTGAGTTTGGCACAAGAAGTCGTAGTGGTAGCGCCTGCCTGAGGTTCGAAGTCACAGGATATCTTGGCAGGGTTGCGAGCGCGGGTGGGTGCGGGGAAAGCCACCTCGTTGCTCGCAGGTCCCAAAGTGAGGGCTTTTGCCGGGTGCTGCGAGGAACGAGCACACATGAAGCAATCTCTGGCGCGGACGCATCGCCCCTGACTTGAGAGAAGCTGTTTGGAACCGTTCGGAACCGTTCAGGCAAGGCATACGCGCTGCGCGAAAATTTACGCGGAATGTGCAAATGTTTCACGGGAAGGCTCTCGATTTTGCATGGTCTGAAGTATTGACCAGAGAAACAGCACTGTTTAGCAAAGCGAAAAAACCAGGTCCGGCCAGCGCCCAACAACTAGAGGACGATTGGCCCGAAAGCATTTTCCATAGGTGCTCGTCCAGCCGCGGAGACACCTTTTTACATCGCTGCGGCGAGCGTGTCTGCGCGCGGCGATGCTCAGTGTGTGTGGTCACATGAGAGCTCCATCTCATCATCCTACTTTCCTCTCGAACTGCGCCGCGATTTCTCACGAAAGTGGTCTGCGCAAGCTGCATTGTTCCAGGCTCTCTGCAAGCTGCTGCACGCAAGTGCTCTGTGCAAGTTGCTCTGCGCAAGCGCTCTGAGCAAGTTGCTCTGCGCAAGTGCTCTGCGCCAGTTGCTCCACGCAAGCGCTTTGCGCATGTGCTCTGCGCAAGTTGGTCTGTGCAAGTTGCTCTGCGCCAGTTGCTCCGTGCAAGCGCTTTGCGCATGTGCTCTGCGCAAGTTGCTCTGCGCAAGTGCTCTGAGCAAGTTGCTCTGCGCAAGGGCTCTGCGCCAGTTGCTCCGTGCAAGCGCTTTGCGCATGTGCTCTGTGCAAGTTGGTCTGTGCAAGTTGCTCTGCGCAAGTGCTTTGTGCAATTGCTCTGTGCAAGTTGCTCTGCGCAAGTTGCTCTGCGCAAGTGACTCTGCGCAAGTTGCTCTGCGCAAGTGCTGCCGGAGCTGTGGGAATGCACTTCGCGCACTATTTTTGTACTGAAAAGTTGCGATTTTCCAGCCGGAGCTGCGAGGGTGCGCTCCGCGTACTACGTTTGTACTTAAAAGTTGCGATTTTCCAGCCTGAGCTGCGGGAGCACGCTCCGCATACTACGTTTGTACTTAAAAGTTGCGATTTTCAAGCCGGAGCTGCGGGGGTGTGCTCCGCGTACTACGTTTGTACTTAAAAGTTGCGACTTTCCAGCCTGAACTGCAGGAGCACGCTCCGCGTACTACGTTTGTACTTAAAAGCTGCGATTTTCAAGCCGGAGCTGCCGCGGACCAGGGGGGAATTGAACCCGCGACCGCGGGATTGCGAAAGCAGGCGCGCAAACCACGAGACAACTTCCAAAGGCCGTTTCGCGAGCGCGAGAGCGCTTCGACACGTCCCCGCAGAGGGTCGCGCGCGGCCAGCAGAAATCGTAAAAAGTCCTCAGTTTTTGAACCTCGACCACGCGAATCTCCGCAGAGGGTCGCGCGCGCGCACCGCAGAAATCGTAAAAAGTCCTCAGTTATTGAACCTCGACCACGCGAATCTCCGCAGAGGGTCGCGCGCGGCCAGCAGAAATCGTAAAAAGCCCTCAGTTTTTGAGCCTCGACCACGCGAATCTCCGCAGAGGGTCGCGCGCGGACCGCAGAAATCGTAACAAGTCCTCAGTTTTTGAACCTCGACCACGCGAATCTCCGCAGAGGGTCGCAATCCCGAGCGACGATCAAACTCCCGCCCCGGCGCCTAAGAAACCTAAACTAACTTACATAGCTGCTAACGCCGAAGCTCTACGCAAGCTCTACCTAACCTTGGCTCTGTGCCACCTGGCTCTGTGCAACTTGGCTCTGTGCAACTTGGCTCTATGTAACTTGGCTCTATGTAACTTGGCTCTATGTAACTTGGCTCTATGTAACTTGGCTCTATGTAACTTGGCTCTATGTAACTTGGCTCTATGTAACTTGGCTCTATGTAACTTGGCTCTATGTAACTTGGCTCTATGTAACTTGGCTCTATGTAACTTGGCTCTATGTAACTTGGCTCTATGTAACTTGGCTCTATGTAACTTGGCTCTATGTAACTTGGCTCTATGTAACTTGGCTCTATGTAACTTGGCTCTATGTAACTTGGCTCTATGTAACTTGGCTCTATGTAACTTGGCTCTATGTAACTTGGTAACTTGGCTCTATGTAACTTGGCTCTATGTAACTTGGCTCTATGTAACTTGGCTCTATGTAACTTGGCTCTATGTAACTTGGCTCTATGTAACTTGGCTCTATGTAACTTGGCTCTATGTAACTTGGCTCTATGTAACTTGGCTCTATGTAACTTGGCTCTATGTAACTTGGCTCTATGTAACTTGGCTCTATGTAACTTGGCTCTATGTAACTTGGCTCTATGTAACTTGGCTCTATGTAACTTGGCTCTATGTAACTTGGCTCTATGTAACTTGGCTCTATGTAACTTGGCTCTATGTAACTTGGCTCTATGTAACTTGGCTCTATGTAACTTGGCTCTATGTAACTTGGCTCTATGTAACTTGGCTCTATGTAACTTGGCTCTATGTAACTTGGCTCTATGTAACTTGGCTCTAACTTGGCTCTATGTAACTTGGCTCTATGTAACTTGGCTCTGTGCAACTTGGCTCTGTGCAACTTGGCTCTGTGTAACTTGTCCAAGGGCTCCGCACGGAAGAACCCTTCGTGATGCTTTCGGGAAAAAATGCACTGGGAGCTGGCAATTTATGCGCGCGCAGCACGAGTGAAGCACATCTGGGGCACACACAGGCTGTCTTGCGAAGCCTGGCTGAAAGCAGGTAAGTTTGATGGGCAGCCCCACGCAGAACTAGCGCACAGCAAAGCGCAACTTCAAACTGAATGCAAACCTGGTACAGAAAACTGCCCGCACGCGTGCTGGACACTAAGACAAACTTGGCTGCGGTCGGGCAATTGGCTACAGATAGTCGGCAAGGCAATGTCAATAGAAAATAGGTTTGCGCCGGCGCGGCGCAAATCTATGACAAATTTAACCACAGTCAGACAAGAACACCCCGGTGCAAATCCAAAGACAACAGTGGCTACAAAAAGGCAAGGAAATGCCAGCTTTCTTCAATGGGACTTGCGCTGGCCTGGCACAAATCTGCACATGTGGCAGCAGTTAGGCAAGTATATATTGTGTATGCTCGCCGGCCCGGCACAAACCCAAACACAACAGTGGCTACAAATAGGCGAGGGCAATTTCAACTTGAAAATGGGTTTGCGCTGGCCCGGCGCAAATCTCTGGCAAACTTTGCTGCAAACAAACGAGGGAGGGCGAGGGCGCACATACACCAACCAGGAGCTGACAGCACGTAACGTTCCAAGTTTCAATTGGCACGCCAGATCCAGACTAAATCTCGGATCCATGCCAAGAATGCCCCCTTGAAACCTTAATATCGGCTTTGAAAACCTGCATCCAAGAT